GAACTCCCTCTTGAAAACTTGTAAGCCAGTCACTTCGTTCTTTATTGCCCACATTTTAGGTAGCCAGTGTCTAAGTTGCCTGTGCCTATCTACCCTGTGTACAGAGGGGATGGGATTGATACTTGATATGAAGACTCCTTCCCTCTCAGTTGGTATTTTGAGCTACTACATCCATAAATATAGGTCAAGTTCATCAAATCGTTTCCTTGATCAAAAATTGTTTTTATATCTTCCCCTAGTTGCGTTCTGATCATCAAGCTATCAAAGCTAGGTCAAATAGGTAATGTCTGGAAGTTTGGGTGTTCTTGTGCGCCTCCCCTCACTTCATATCAGCTGGATGCTTCACAGCTCTAGCCCTCTGTGGCTGTGTCCTTGTCCATGGGCTCAGGTGTCCCCAGGTATCACCACACTTCAGACCTACCAATCCTTCCTCTTATCTGTCTCATCTCCAGGTCAGTGGGAGTCTATGGAATGTGGTTGAACTCATCCCATTTCTTCATTGATGCTTTTTGCCCCTCTTCCACTTACCAATAGACCAGCATGGTCACCAGCAAACTTAACATGTCTGCTCATGTGTTCCATTTGATTATGATTTGTCTTGGTGATTTTCTTTTGGCATCTGTCCATTTTAGGATTCATTCAACTTCTTGTGTGCTTATCTTCTTGTCTTTCATTATGTTAGGGAAGTTTTCCTCCAACAATTCTTTGAAAATGTCAGTACTCCTAAAATCAATCTATATTTTGCATTCTAATTTGTTGAGTAGTGCCTGGGGTCTTATCAGCTCATGAGCAGCTATCTTAAGATACTGCAGTTGGTCTCTACTCATTTGGAGTCAAAGAAAATGAAGGAAAACAAAAGACTAAATGAAGAAACTAGTCCACAGGATTAATAGTCCACACAAACCACGGTCTCCTCTAACCTGAGGCCAGAAGAACTAGATGGTGTCAGGCTACCATACTGACGAGGGACACAATAGAAGGTCCCCGTTAGAATGGGAGAAGAATGTGGAATAAAGCTCAAATTCATAAAGAAAAGACTAGACTAAAAATTGGGTTGATAGAAATTGGAGGAACCCCCAAGACTGTTGCCTGGAAATGCTGACTGGCTTGTAAAACCAACACTATGAGAGTAATATTTCCCTTAAAACAATTAACTATATTAGACCAGAAGATTTATATGTATCCAAAAGTAAAGATGAACGAAAAGACAAGAAGGGGGAAGGAAGTTAAAGCAATGTAACCAGAACAGACAGAATGAAATGTGTTTTTTACATGTAATGCTCCCATGTAAAATAGTGTGCACAAATGGGGAGTATGTGTAAGAAACTGGAGTGGTTTGGAAAATCTTCTACTGTATATTATTTGCGTTAAAATACAGTAATGGGAATGCTGACAAAATGTGAACATTGTAACCAGTGTCATGAAACAGTTTGCTGTAATTGTTTACTGGGAATCTAATTCATTGTGTACTCCTTCACCTAAAACAACCCAATAAAATATCATTAGTAAAAGGAAAAACAAACCTTGTTATTAATCTTTCTTGGCCCTTTCTTGGCTTCCTAGCCCTACACACCACTCTTAGACACAAAAGGTGTCCATCCCAGTGCGGCAGATTTTGTTCTCCTTTTTGGAAAGGAGCATGTTGGGTTAAAAGCTGGGTAAGGGCAGCACCAAATATCAGCAACTGCTTATGTCTTTATTAAATTTAAAAGATTTAGCTTCTTTTAAATTTCAGAAATGACTCGAATAAATGCAACATAAATTATCTTTCTATGTATTTACCTGCTTTCTTTCATTAAACATGTATCCAGTGTCTTTTACACACTAACTTATGTGGCTCTTCCCTTTTTTATGGCTACATCACATTCCAGGATGGGTGTTTCATCTGTTATACACTTTAGTTGAGTACCAATTCTTCCCAGCACTGTGCTAAGCCTTGATGCAGAAGTAGCAATATATACTTTTACTAAATTTGCCACAAATGTAATGGTTACTCTATCTTGAAGGATAAACTAATGATGCTATGAGCATATATTAGAGAAGACTCTTCAGAGTAGGCTGTATCAATGAGTTAAGTGGCATCTTACTGATGGACACTGTTTTCTATTACTGTGCTGCAGTAGTCTTGATATAATTTTGTATATTATGAGATTTGATCCATGCGGTAAATTTCTAGTAATAGAGTATATGCATTCTAATTTGATACATATTACCACATTGCTCTCTAATAAAAACTCTGTGTCCATTTTCACTAGGAATTGAAATCTCCAATAAATTCTAAACGTGATTCATTATATAAGGTTCATTCCTTCTGTTCTTAACATTGTAGGAAGGAGGAGGAGGAGCGAAGGAGGCGTGAAGAAGAAGAAAGAGAACGTCTGCAAAAGGAGGAAGAGAAGCGTAGGAGAGAAGAAGAGGAAAGGCTTAGACGGGAGGAAGAGGAGAGAAGGAGGATAGAAGAAGAGAGACTTCGTTTGGAACAACAAAAGTAAGCTTGCTGTGCGCCTTAGAACACAGTTCTGTGCACTAAAAAACTAGAAAGTAGATCAGTATTCGTTACTTGCCAATTGTATGTACCAACATGTTACCAAAGGGTTTCGTCTTAAGTATCATTTGACTCTGAAAATGGGGTATATGTTGGGAGGATTTGGGATTAGCTCACAGAGCAAGAGCTAAAGTTGCTTCATTGCTCTCTCTCTGGGTCTACATGATCCCTTTTCTTTGCTTCATTCTTTCTACTGTCTGTAGATTGTCACTCTCTGCTTTGGCTTATGCAAGACTATCTCACAGATTTATGTGGTCTATGTTTCCTTGCATCTGACAGACTGCCTGGAGTCTGTGACCCTAGGAGAGAGAATATACTTGGTCCACCCTATGTCCGAATTTAGGAGATGAAATCATATCCTATGCAGTAAAAACTGAGAGTAGCTGTCTCAGAAGGGACTGATTCTTCAGGAGGGAATTGTGGATTAACATTCAGGAAGGAAGTGATTAACATTCATAGTAGCCTGGGGTCCTAGGAGTGGTTTTATGTGTAATTGAAACCAGAAAGCATCAGAGTCCATGGGTTTCCCCTCATTATTTCACATAGAAACCTTAATTAGGCAAAATTGTCAAAATGCAAAGCTGTTGTTTCTCAATATATCTTCCATCTATACAAAGACCAAGAGGCTGTTGTTCGAACAGAACCTGAATGGTTGAAAATCAAGAAAGTTGTGCGCCAGCGTTGTATGTTTTCACCATACTTATTCAATCTCTATGCTGAGCAGATAATTCCAGAAGCTGAATTATATGAAGAAAACCGTGGCATCAGGATTGGAGGAAGACTCATTAACTACCTGTGATATGCAGATGATACAACCATGCTTGCTGAAAGTGAAGAGGATTTAAAATACTTACTGATGAAGATCAAAGACCACAGCCTTTGGTGTGAGTTGCACTTCAATGTAAAGGAAACAAAAATCTTCACCACTGGACCAATAAATAGCATCATGATGAATGGAGAAAAGATTGAAGTTGTCAAACACTTAATTTTATTTGGATCTACCATCAACGCTCATGGAAGCAGCAGTCAAGAAATCAAATGATGTATTGCATTGGTCACATCTGCTGCGCAAGACCTCTTTACCGTTTTCAAGAACGAAGAATGTCAGTTTGAGGACTAAAGTGTGCCTGACTGACCCAAGCCATTGTATTTTTAGTGGGATCATATGCATGTGAAAGTTGGACAGTGAATGAGGAAGACTGTCGAAGAATGGATGTATTATTTGAGTTAAGGTGTTGGAGAAGAATATTAAAAGTGCCATGGACTGCCAGAAGATCAAACAAATCTTTCTTGGGAGAAACACAAGAATGCTCCTTAGAAGCCAAGATGGCCAGACTTCATGTCTCGAACTTTAGACATATCAGTAGGAGCTAGTCCATGGGGAAGAACATCATGCTTGTTAAAGTGGAGGGTCAGTGAAAAAGAGAGAGACCCCCCCCCCCCCCCCCCGTGAGATGCATTGGCACAGTGGCAGCAGCAATGGGCTCAAGCGTAGCAGTAATTGTGAGGATAGTACAGGACTGAGCGGTGTTTCGATCTGTTGTACATAGGGTCGCTGTGGGTTGGAATTGACAGCACTTAACAACAAGGTGTTTATACTTCTGCATGTGGTATTTCCATCTGTCTAACCCTTTTCCAAAGAATTCTGAGGTCTTCTATTTACACCATGTCAAAACAGTTTTGGCATTCTCAAGGGACATGAATTGTGTTCCTTTGAAATGTTCTTTGAGTTTGGGGACAAAAATGTCTAAAAATGTAAGAGTAGGGTTGCAAGGTCGTAAGGGTTAAGTTTTCCAGCAAATTTTTTATAGGACAGCCCTTGCTACTCTCGAACAATGAGCAGGTAAATTATAATGAAAAAGAATTCCTTGGCACACATTTTCTGACCTTTTCCTCACCATTGTAGTTTCCTATTTTCTTTAAAACTTTGTCTTCATAAACCTCCATGATTGTCCTGTGTCCTTCAAGAGACTCTGTCAAGATTATCTCTTAGAATTCCTGAAAAATAGTCGCCAAACCTTCTTAGCTGACCCACTCTGCCTTGATTTAACTGGTCTAGAAGATCCTCTCTGAAGCCTTCTGATTGGACCTGTCACTTTTGAAGTCGTCACACAAATGAGACTAATAAGACAAATGTATTACTGAGAGAACTTGTCTGCAGAGATAGTTTTATGGCAGTACTTTTTTACTTGTTTTCATTTGTCAAGAAACAATAGCTTCAACATTTTGAAAAAATTTTAAGTAAAATTTTTTATGCTTTTGTAACCCTTTTACCTTAGAAACATTGTGGAGAATGAATATTCCGTAACACTTAATTGTGTTTATGAGGAACCTCTACCTCTATATAGACTAAGAGGCAGTTTGAACAGAACAAGGGAGCGCTTGAATAGTTTAAAATTAGGAAAGATATGCACCAGGGTTGTATTTTTTCACCTTACTTAATCAATCTGTATGCTGAGCAAATAATTCAAGTAGCTGGATTAGATGAAGAAAAACATGGCATCAGAATTGGAGGAAGACTCATTAACAATCTGCAATATGCAAATAATACAGCCTTGTTTGCTGAAAGCAAAGAGGACTTAAAATACTGATGAAGATCAAGGATTAACGCCTTCGATATGGGTTGCACCTCAAAGTAAAGAAGATAAAAATCCTCACCACTGGACCAATAAACAACCTGGTGTGGCACTGTGGGTTAATGCGCCAGATTGCAAAGCTGTTTGAACTGCAAGGTTGGTGGTTCAGGCTCACCAGCTACTCCTCAGAAACCCTATACAGGGTCACTATGGGTCAGAACCGACTTGATATGCACTTAACAACAACATATAAATGGAGAAAACACTGAAGTTGTCAAAGACATCATTTTGCTCTGATCAACCACCAGCACTTGTGGAAGCAACAATCAAGAAATCAAATGATGTATTGCATTTGGTAAATCTGCTGTATAAGACCTCTTTACAGTCAGTTTGAGGACTAGGTGTGCCTGACCCAAGCCATGGTGTTTTCAATAACCTCGTCCGGTGTGGCGCTGTGGGTTAATGCGCCAGACTGCAAAGCCATTTGAACTGCAAGGTCAGCAGTTCAGGCTAACCAGCTGTTCCTCAGAAACCCTATACAGGGTCGCCATGGGTTGGAATCAACTCGATGGCACTTAACAACAACAACAATATATATGCATGTGAAACTTGGACCATGAATAAAGGTGACTTTAGAAGAATTGGTGCATATGAGTTACGGTGTTGGGGGGAAATATGAACAATATCCTGGACTGCCAAAAGAACAAACCAATCTGTGTCGGAAGAAGTACAGCCAGAATGCTCCTTAGAAGCAAAGATGGCCAGACTTCGTCTCTCATACTTCAGACATATTGTCAGGAGGGACCATTCCCTGGAGAAGGATATGTTTGGTAAAGTGAAGGGTTGGAGAAAAAGAGGAAGATGAATTGGTACAGTGGCAGTAGCAATGGGCTCAAGCATAGCAATAATTGTGAGGTTGGTGCAGGACTGGGCAGAGCATAAGGTTGCTATGAGTCGGTACCTACTCAGTGGCACCCAACAACAGTAACAACTACATACTTTAGTAAAAGTTGTAGTCTTAGCCCCAAACAAATCCAGGGCCTCCTACTTAAAAACTATAACAACTCTTCTTTTTTCTTTTTCTTTTTGATTCCCTGGGCAAGGGGCTGTACTAGGAGGACTACGTGTCATATTCAGGAGTTTGTGAGGTTTTCTTTAATAGATTACTGTAAATTTTCTCTAGGCAGGTCACATAACTGAGTTAAGCATATGGTTCCTTTAAGAAAGAATATAAAAATAATTATAGTAGTTTACTGAAGTTAATATCTCTGAGCCAAGTGCATAGAGCCCTGGTGGCACAACCGGTAAGCGTTTGACTGCTAACCAAAAGATTGGTGATTTGAACCCACCAGCGGCTCCATGGGGGAAAAGACCTGGTAATCTGCATCTGTAGAGATTTCGGCATAGAAAATCCATGTTTTGTCTTGGGGGTCTTGTAGGGTCCTTGTGAGTCGGGATCTACTCAAAGCCACACAGCTACAAAAACAAACTTTCAAGTGTGCCCAGCTATTATTTTCAGTTTTTTTTTTTTTTTAGGAATGCTTTAAATTTAAGTAAAATGCTTTAAACCAAATGGATCCTAAATTTTTCTCTTGCTTTACCAGGGCGACCTGTGACATTTTTCAATACATTTAAATAGAAGAGCCGTAACTAAAAGTTTGAAACCTCATCTCTGCAATAGGTGAAACCATCATGGTTTACAGCATCTTGACTAAATAGTATAGGCTTTTGAGCAAACTGCCTGAATTCAAATCCTGACTCTGGCATCCACCGTATCTTTTAATGTTTATAATGTATGTGTTATGCAGTTTTTTTTTATCCCTAAACCACCTACCCCCTTGCATGTTAGTTTCCTATGTGTAGAAAAGTTAAATGTGAAAAAACAGTTCTAGGGGTGTAATCTTGGACAATTACTGAATTCCCTTATTTCCTCCTTGGTGAGACCCTAATTTATTGTGTTGTTTTGAGGACTCAACGGGTTCATTTATGTAAGTGCTGTGAACACTGTGGCAGACAGTAAGGACACAGTAAATGCTAGCAGTTATTGATGATGGTGATGGTGAGAGACTATTATTCTCTCTCCATCCCAGATTTTCTTGAAAACCCTAAGTAAAAAGTTAGAGCCCAAATTAATTTTTTAAAATCTTTCTTCTGAGCCTGAGACATATGAACATTGGTATACATTGTAGCTTAGTCATTTTGAAGAGCTATAAAATTCTAAAAATAATAAGGACATTTTATTTTGTCATGAGCAATCTCCTGTAGTCAGACTAGTCTATATTTTTTAATGTTTTTAGGCAGCAGATAATGGCAGCTTTAAACTCCCAGACTGCCGTGCAGTTCCAGCAGTATGCAGCCCAACAGTATCCAGGGAACTACGAACAGCAGCAAATTCTCATCCGCCAGTTGCAGGAGCAGCACTATCAGCAGTATATGCAGCAGTTGTATCAAGTCCAGCTTGCACAGCAACAGGTATGATAGATAACCCCAGAATTCAGCTGTAGAGAGAGTTTTTAGTTTCATTGGAATTCATGTTCATTTTTATCAACTGATGATACTGAATTTTGCATTAACTAGTATCAAAAAGTACAAAGTAGCTTTTAGGCGACTATTATTAAGAACAGACTTTAGCTTTGTACTGGGAGTTATGAAAGAAAATATATAAGGAATTGAAGCAGCAAATGCTATAGCCAGTATCCATTGTAGGATATTTGAGAGTTGTAGTGAGTCTGGCACAGAACCTGATGATAGGCCTGGAACTTTGATGAATTGGGGAACTAGCCTTAGTTCAAGTATGGCCTTCAGGTCCAGACAACTTCCAGTGAGTGAGAGAACTCCTCTCCCCTGTGGCTAATGGCTGGGTTTCCCTAGCTAGCTTGGCTCCATTCTGACTTTCTTGCTAGAAGAGCCTGTTGTTGATAAGCGCAGTCAAGTCAGTTTCACCTCATAGAGACCCCATTTAGGATATCTGAGGATTCACTGGTGTGTTTGAACCACCATTCTTGCAGCTAGCAGTCCAGTGCTTATCCTACAGCGCCACACCATGGTATCCAAGAATTGTGGAAATGGAGGAACTCTAAGCTTAGTAGCCCTCATTAGTTTTTGACCATTAGTAGGTAGCACTCACATGCAATACATCAATATTTCATCTCCAACTTCCCAACCCCAAATACTTTGCTTCACATAAACACAGGACTGGGATACAGTCGATATACACTTGGATCCTGACCTGCCCTTGCCATTTCTCTTTTTTGATAACAAGTTACCTACTGCTCTGATCTTTCTGCCTTGTCTCCCAGTCTTAACTGGAAAGAAGCCCTGGTGGCCCAACAATTAAGTGCTCTGCTGCTAAACCGAAAGGTTGGCTGTACAAACCCACCAAGCAACTTTGCAGGAGAAAGGCTGGCAGTCTGCTTTTGTAAAGAAAGATTCCAACTTAGAAAACCCTCTGAGACATTCTACTCTGTCACACGACTTGAAATCAACTTGACAACACACAGTGGCAACGGCTTTCTTTTTGGGAAAGATATTGATTTTATATTCATTGCGTACATCTTATGGAGGCGTAAAATGTCTCCTTAAACTTAACTAGGTAAATTTTACTTACTTGATTTTCACCTATTAAACCAGTTACCACCTTTCACAAAATATGAGCAATACCGTTTTTGTTGAACATTTCTTCTTAGGTGAAATAAACAGATTGTTGGTTTGTTTGTTTTTTTAACAAAACTGTAACTTCCTAGAAAATATGTTTTCTTGCTTAGAATACTTTTGTCCTGAGTATTTGGCATTAGTGAGATGATGAAAAGCACTGCAGGTTTTGGTCAATCCACAAGAGAAGGAAATGGGTCTCAAACCAGGATTTGAGATAATAAGAGACATTTTTGAGGCACATCTCCGTCCTCTGTTTGTTTCCATTTTAACCAACCAATCCCATTTTCCTGCTTGTATGTTGGGCAGCGGTATAAATTATTTTTAATGGGATAGTTAACATACACTGTTTTTTTCGTAGATTGTTATCATTTAATGAGAAGAAAATCAGCCTATTATGGCACAACCAAGAATCTTTTAAACAGAATTAGAACATCATAATTTTGATTGGTGGTGGTTATGTGCCATAGAGTCGGTTCTGACTCATAGTGACCCTGTACAGGGTTTCCGAGGCTGTAAATCTTTATGGGAGCAGAAAGCCTCATCATTCTCCTACGGTACAGCTGGTAGTTTCGAACTGCTGACCTTGTGGTTCACAGCCCAATTTGTAACCACTATGCTACCAGAGCTTCTAATCAAATTGATTGGTTTCCTCTGGGAAGAGGGAAGGAAAGAAACAAAGGAAAATTTCTCTATAAGATATTAATTTTTATATAAATACTGAGAAACGTGATAAAACATGTGTACTTGTTAATTTTGGAGTAATAGTTACAGAGGTTTTTGGCACATTGTTAGTGTACTTTTCTGCCATTTTCAAAATTTCTCAAAGTATAGGAATGAGATTATGTAAAGAAATAATTTCAATCTGTTGTATATAAAATAATACAGTAAAACCTGTGAAAAACAGATACTTAGTGTAAGGTAGAAACTCAAATATTTTCCAATAACTAGATGGAAAAGTACATTCTGTCACTGGCAAAACATGCAAGACCCAGAAAGACAGTTTTGCCTAGTTCCAGATCTCACAGACTTCACTGTAGATGTGTGAAAGGGCTTCAGAAAGTTTGTGGGGGAATTCCATTCCTTTTTCTTTTTTTCTTTTAAATTGAGTTAAGGTTTGCAGAACAGACCATTAGTACCACATTCAGAACTCAAACACTTCATGTCATTAAAATTATTGCAATCCCCTCCATGTACCATCAGTTAATAGAATTTCCTTCTATTCACTTTAACTCTTGCATTCTTCCCTGTGTCTTCTGCTACTATCATTTTGACAACTTCCAATTTTTCTAGAATCATGTCATACTTTATACATTCCGTGTACCAGTTATTAATAGATGTTTGTAGCGGTTTCTCCTCATTTTGAGTTTTGCCCATCAGCAAATGAAGGTCCCAGAAGCTTTACTCCATATCCATCATTATGGTCAACTCTTCTTTCAGGAGGTAGCTCCTCACCAGTCATCGTATTTTGAGTGCCTTCCTCAGCTAACCTCCCTCTTGTTGCATATTGTGTTCCTCATCACCCAAGTTAACAAGAGTCTACCCTCTACCCAGTATAAATTCCCTTCTCTCCCAGCTCTGGTAACCATCATAGAGTGTTCCTTTTTATCAAGAAAGTCTTTTCTTAACTTTCTGCAGTAGTGATCTCATATAAGATTTATCCTTTTGTAAAAACAAAACAAAAAACAAAGGGAATAGAAGCGCAAATACTGTTGAATGATGATGGATGGAGGGGATTGTAATCATTGCAATGAAACAATATGATAGGATTAGTGTAAAACTGATGGTCTCTCCTGTAAACTATCACTTAACTCACAATAATAAATAGATAAATTATCCTTTTGTGATTGACTAACTTTATTCAATATAATGTCCTCCAGGTTCATCCATGTTTTGTGGACCCCTTGCTGTTCTTCAATGTTGTGCAGTATCCCATTGTTTTCTAAAGTTAGTTTAACCATTTTTCTATTGATGGACATTTAGGCTGTCTCCATCTTTTGCTATTGTGAGTAGTGCTTCAATGAATGTTGTTGTTGTTGTTAAGTGCCATAGAGTTGGTTCCGACCCATAGTGACCCTGTATAGGGTGTGTGCATATGTGGCACTGTGGGCTAATGCGTCAGATTGCAAAGCCATTTGAACTGCAAGATTGGTGTTTCAAGCTCACCAGCTGCTCCTTAGAAAGCCTATACAGGGTCACTATGGGTTGGAACTGACTCAACAGCACTAACCAACAACAACAAATATATCTTCTTGTGTCTTCCCTTTTTTTATACCAAGTAGCGGGATTACTGGATCATACAGTATTTCTATTTCCAATGTTTAGAGAAAGCCCCATGCCATTTTCCACAGTGGTTGCACCATTTTTTAAACTTTGTTATCAATGCTAGGGTAAGATGATATCGCATCTCTAGTGGCACTGCAGGATAAGCACTGGACTTGGTTGACCACTAGGTTGGTGGTTTAAACCCACTGGCCACTCCTCAGAAAGCTTATACAGGGTCACTATGAGTTGGAACCGATTTGATAGCACTTAACAATAACAATGGCTAATGATCATGAACATTTTTTCATATGTTTATTTGTTAGAATATTCCCTTGTCTGTTGTCATTTCCAAAAGTTTTTGCCTAGTATGTGGGTTGTCTTTTTAACTCTTGATGCATATAAGTGTCTAATGTTTGGGAATTCCCAGTCATCTATTTTGTCTCCTATTGTTTGTGTATTTTCAGTTAAATTTGATAGTGTATTTATTGTCATGAATCAGAGCACCTAAGTTTGCCCTATTTTTTCATTGTTGATCTTTATAATTCTAGGGGTTACATTTAGCACTTGAATCCATGTTGAAGTTGAATTTGATTTTGTATATGGTGTGAGATATAGGTTTTGCTTCATTCTTCTACAAATGGATTCCAGTATTGCCAGCACCATTTGTTGAAGAAACTATTTGTTTCCTATTTAATGTGTTTTAGCACTTTGCCAATGATCAGCTGACTTTAGGTAGATGAATTTACTTCTGGGATCTCAATTTTGTTCCATTGATATACCTGTCTTTCATTGTAGCAGTACCAACATTTTGAGTACTGTGGCTGTGTGGTAGGTTTTGAGATAGGGACTTGAGAGGCCTCCTACTGGGTTCTTCTTTTTCAGTAATACTTTGTTGTCTCAGGTTTCTTTCCTTTTCCTGTTAGTGATTAGGTTTTCCATTTCTTGTAAGCAGGAGTGGGGAACATCTGGTCTGTGGACCATGTAAGACCTGAGAAATCACTTGGTCTGGCCCTGTCAAAGCAACTGTGGTTTTAGTCATCACATTAGGGTTGAGTTAATAAAATGTTTGATCAAATATAGCAGGTTAATTTTTAAGTTGATAATTTAATGTGGCCCACGAATGGTGTTATAAATTTTGGCAGAAAATAGGTTCCCCACTCCTGCTTTAAAGAATGATACTGGAATCTGGATTGGGATTACATTATATTTATAGATTGCCGTAGTTAGTTCAACACTTTTGACATTTCCACATTGTGTCATTGTGACCTTGTCACAATGTTAAGCTTTCCTATCCATGAGCATGGTTTCATTACAGAAATGATTGCTTTTTTTTTTTTAGGTTTCTTTTGATATCTTGTCAAATTGTTTTGCATTTCTTTATATATAGGCCTTTTATTTTTCTGGTTAGTTTTATTTCTGAGTATTTCATCTTTTGGGTGACTATTATAAATGGTATTGTTTTTCTGATTTCTTTTTCAGAACTCTGGTTACTAGTATAAAGGAATCCAACTGATACATTTCTTTTTTAACTTGTGAATTAAGTGAAAGGTCACAGA